TGCATGTATAACGAGCGAGGCAGACCCTGTCGTAACGTCTTGTCTATCCCCGATTACTGCATGTATAACGGGTAGTCAAACCCTGTCGTATCGTCTTGTCTATCCCTGATTACTGCATGTATAACGGAGAGGCAAACCCTGTCGTAACGTCTTGTCTATCCCCGATTACTGCATGTATAACGAGCGAGGCAAACCCTGTCGTAACGTCTTGTCTATCCCCGATTACTGCATGTATAATGGGTAGTCAAACCCTGTCGTAACGTCTTGTCTATCCCTGATTACTGCATGTATAACGGAGAGGCAAACCCTGTCGTAACGTCTTGTCTATCCCCGATTACTGCATGTATAACGGGTAGTCAAACCCTGTCGTACCGTCTTGTCTATCCCCGATTACTGCATCTATAACGGAGAGGCAAACCCTGTCGTAACGTCTTGTCTATCGCCGAATACTGCATGTATAACGGGTAGTCAAACCCTGTAGTATCGTCTTGTCTATCCCTGATTACTACATGTATAACGGGTAGTCAAACCCTGTCGTATCGTCTTGTATATCCCCGATCACTACATGTATAACGGGTAGTCAAACCCTGTCGTATGATCTTGTCTATCCCAGATTTCTGTATGTACAACGGAGAGCAAACCCTGTCGTAACGTCTTGTCTATCCCCGATTAGTGCATGTATAACGGGGAGCATATCTTGTATCATCTTGTCTATCCCCGATTACTGCATGTAAAACGGGTAATCAAACCCTGTCGTATCGTCTTGTCTATCCCCGATTACTGCATGTATAACGGGTAGTCAAACCCTGTCGTATCGTCTTGTCTATCCCCGATTACTGCATGTATAACGAGCGAGGGAAACCCTGTTGTAACGTCTTGTCTATCCCCGATTACTGCATGTATAATGGGGAGCCATACCATGTTGTAGCGTCTTGTCTATCCCCGATTACTGCATGTATAACGAGCGAGGCAAACCTTGTCGTATCATCTTGTCTATCCCCGATTACTGCATGTATAATGGGGAGGCATACCTTGTTGTAGCGTCTTGTCTATCCCCGATTACTGCATATATAACGAGCGAGACAAACCCTGTCGTAACGTCTTGTCTATCCCAGATTACTGCATGTATAACGAGCGAGGCAGACCCTGTCGTAACGTCTTGTCTATCCCCGATTACTGCATGTATAACGGGTAGTCAAACCCTGTCGTATCGTCTTGTCTATCCCTGATTACTGCATGTATAACGGAGAGGCAAACCCTGTCGTAACGTCTTGTCTATCCCCGATTACTGCATGTATAACGAGCGAGGCAAACCCTGTCGTAACGTCTTGTCTATCCCCGATTACTGCATGTATAATGGGTAGTCAAACCCTGTCGTAACGTCTTGTCTATCCCTGATTACTGCATGTATAACGGAGAGGCAAACCCTGTCGTAACGTCTTGTCTATCCCCGATTACTGCATGTATAACGGGTAGTCAAACCCTGTCGTACCGTCTTGTCTATCCCCGATTACTGCATCTATAACGGAGAGGCAAACCCTGTCGTAACGTCTTGTCTATCGCCGAATACTGCATGTATAACGGGTAGTCAAACCCTGTAGTATCGTCTTGTCTATCCCTGATTACTACATGTATAACGGGTAGTCAAACCCTGTCGTATCGTCTTGTATATCCCCGATCACTACATGTATAACGGGTAGTCAAACCCGGTCGTTTCATCTTGTCTATCCGAGATTTCTGCATGTATAACGGAGAGCAAACCCTGTCGTTTCGTCTTGTCTATCCCTGATTACTGCATGTACAACGGAGAGGCAAACCCTGTCGTATCGTCTTGTCTATCCCCGATTACTGCATGTATAACGAGGAGTCAAACCTTGTAGTAACGTCTTGTCTATCCCCGATAACTGCATGTATAACGGGGAGCATACCTTGTCGTATCATCTTGTCTACCCCCGATTACTGCATGTATAACGGAGAGCATACCCTGTCGTATCGTCTTGTCTATCCCCGATTACTGCATGTATAACGGGGAGCATACCTTGTATCATCTTGTCTATCCCCGATTACTGCATGTATAACGAGTAATCAAACCCTGTCGTATCGTCTTGTCTATCCCCGATTACTGCATGTATAACGGGGAGTCAAACCCTGTAGTAACGTCTTGTCTATCCCCGATTACTGCATGTATAACGGGGAGCATACCTGTCTATCTTCGAGTTTGTCAGGTATAACGTCGCGTCATGTCTATCTACGAGTACTGCATGTATGACGGGAGATCATACATTGTTGCTACGTCTAGTCTACCAACGAGTGTTGCTTATATCCTGTCGGCAAGTCTGGTCTACCTATGAGTGATGTATGTATAAATGGAGATGCACACCCTGTCGTTGCGTTTCTTCTCCGTTGACCGTCAAGGAATTCGAAATCATGCTCTCCATTGAAAATATGGTTACACTTCTTATGCAAACAGGAGTTACTACAAAGTAATGTCAAGAAAAAAATAAATAGTCATATTGTTTAACTTACTTTTGGCCCAGCTTAGTTGATTTTTATGAAGTAGCTAATTCTAACTTCACAAACAGAGTTGCGTTTCCGATAGACTTTCTGAATTTTTAATCGAAGGCGCATGGGAATGGACTTTTTATTTCTTCTGTTTTAATTTGTTTTAAGTAAATATTCCTTAATACCTAAACCTATTTTTTCTTACTTCATGTATTCTTGCTCTTATTTATATACGATTTTACAATAACAGTAGTTATGTGGTTTCTCCGATACCGTTAATTGTATCTTTATTTAGAAGTAATTGGCCCTCTAACTTTTGTGGTTTGGTCCAGTTCAGATATGATAGAAATCTAATTAACATACTGATGCACTTCTCATCCTGCATATATGAAAGCAATAAATAATTTTGTCGTTCAACGTCATTTTATTTCCCCACTCTTCTTTATACGATACTAGTCCTGTTTATTCCACATAATAGGTAATCATAGGTTAATTGACAAATATTCAAACAGGTAATTTGGTGCAAATGAATTCCAAATTGTGGCGCAAATAAATAAACTCATCATAGATACCATGATTAAAACTTTGCACACCAGACGCGCGTTTAGTCTACGGAAGACTCATCAGTGACGCTTGAATCAAAAAATTAAAAGGCCAAATAAAATACGAAGTTGAAGAGAATTGAGGATCCAAAATTCCGAAAGGTTTTGCCAAATACACCTAAGATAATTTATTCGAATTTCTGAAATTTTTTAAAGTTTTGAAACAGTTAATTTATAAATATCACCATGATAATTCATGTCTACACAGAAAAAAACTGACTACTGGGCTGGTGATACCATCGGGGAGGTTTACGGGGAGGAGACCTCCACCAACAGCGGCATCGACCCAGTGGTTGTAAATAAACTCTTCATAGATACCAGTATTAGAATTTTGTACACCAGACGCACGTTGCGTCTACAAAAGACTCAGCAGTTACGCTCGAATAAAAAAAGATAAAAAGGCCAAATAAAGTACGAAGTTGAAGAGCATTGCGGACCCAAAATCAATACCTTTGAAAAAAATAAAATGTGGTGCAAATGATATATCTCAGCAATACCAATTGTCGGAAACAGCCGATAATAAGTTATATTGGTCGACCGATCCATTTCCCAAGCGCCTGTGTTTTCATTACTTACTTTTAACGCAAATAGCCAATAAGATGAAAGAAGGAATGGTCATTATTCTCATAAACCAAATACATAGTTACAGACATGATAATTTTACAATGATAATAAATATTGAATATAGCATGTGTGAAATAAAAATGACTGTTACATACTACTATAATATAAATCTAGACAAACGATAAATGAATATAGTTGTTTTTTACCAGGAGGATAGACTTTCACAGTAATAGATTTCATAAATCTACAGGGTTTCACAATTTCGGGTTGAATATACTAAGTATTGAATTTAATAACATCTACACTATTACAACATTGTGGTAAGCGTTTGTTTCTTTCATTTTTGAAAAAAAAAAATAATAATATAATATAAAAGCAAAATTTGAAAAATTCTACGGTTTAAAAGTTCTTAATTTTTTAATGATATTATATTTTAAAACTTTGGCCTCGAGCATCACCGAAGAGACATTAATTGCCTAGATGCGCATCCGGTGCAGACAAATTTGTACCGTAAATGTTATAACTGGTCCTATACATAAGTCTTGGCGACTTTATTGACAAAATGTCATTATATAATTTGGGGCTACTGTATATATGATTTATTCTTATCGATATTGTTTAAAGTAATAAAACTTTTTTTCAATTTTGTAATCCGGGATTTTTATTCAAAATGTGTGGGTCAAGCTAATTCTAGGGCACGCACCCGTCTAATGAAAACAATAAATATTTTTCATGTTTAATCAATGTCTGCAAAAAACTGTCATGCTACCATTTAAATGGAGTTTGGCATTGAGCCAAGAAACAGTCTCTCAATGCACATGTCTTTAATTTTTTCTGTTAGATTCTGTTTTGGAACATTAACGAAAGCTGTAAATTTTAATGTAATAAATAAGAATAAAGGCTATGATCCTTTGTTTTTCTATCATATATTTTATTTTCGAGCTTTAAATTAGAATTGGGCTTTACAACCCTAATACGTGTTGTTCACAGCATATTATAATTCCGTTGATGTCCATTGATATTTTATTGTTATGTCCACTTTTCATATTTGTTCACAACGATTATACTATTGCTTCGTTAAAACATATTTATTATGTATTTATCTAGAATCTGAATAAAGCCTTTTTTGTGCTAATGCGGTGTAAAGCAATCACCAATCAATCAATCAATCTAAAATCAACCGGTTAATACGAATTGACAAAAAAAAATATATAAGATTATAAATAAACATCTCATCGTAGTCTATAAGTTTTATAATTATATCTCCTTCATTGATTCTTTTTATTTAGTCATTAATGTCAAATAAAATAATAAAAACACTATTTCTTTCAGGAGACAAATCACTGACGAGCAAGATCGTTGACGAAGGCGTAACTCGGTACAAATATTATATATTGATTCCACAAAGTCGAAACTTTCTACATTCCAAAATACATATGGCCTTTGTATTCTTCGTGTTTATTATCATACTTAAGTTTCCATGGAATTTGTGTGTAGATTCTACGAGTTTTGTAAATGACCAGTTCTATTCACAGGAAATACGAAAAGGAAGGTGTATGGCAAGGTGTTTTGAACAGGTAAGTTTCAACGTTTTTTAATTGTATCTTAATTATTATAAGAAGTTATCGTCATGATTTTTGCCATGATGTATTATTCAGGTATATTGTTAATTATGTATATTCAGGCATTTTATCCTCCCCTTATTTAGATATTTAAAAAAAAACAACCATTTTGTGGTCATTCTATTTTTGCTTTTTGTAAGAATATTGAAAATTACTCTCTTTGACCCAAAAATAATAAATTACCAGATTAACTTTTAAGCATAAAATCACATCACAATTTTATCCGTTGTTATAAATAAGAAGATGTGGTATGAGTGCCAATGAGACAACTCTCCATCCAAGTCACAGCCTTTTCTCTTCCTTAGTGTATTTGTTGATATTTACGGTGACTATTCTATATCTATCTTTATTTTAGTGTTCTTTTCTGAAATGTATGGTATTTTACTTTGTTAAACACGAGTGCTACATTTAATCGTTATATTTTTTTAAAAAGGGGATAAAAGGCAATCAAAATCATAAGTAAAATCAATGTCATTACCGAAGCACTGAATACTGAACTGATGATACACTCGGAAATAACAGTTCACAAGCAGAACCCAAAAAGATGACAACAAAACATGAAATACACGAAGGGCTCTCAACTAAATCTATATTAATGAGATGATTTTTCACAATAATACATTTGACAAAAAATATAAGTGACCAAAATGACACAGAAATTAACAACTTTAGGTTACCGTACGGCCTTCAACAATGAGTAAAACCATACCGCATAGTCAGCTATAAAAGGCCCCGAAATGACAAATGTAAAATAATTCAAACGAGAAACCTAACGGCTCCTGACTTGGGACAGACACATAAGAATGTGGCGGGGTTACACATGTTAGCGGGCGCTCAATCCTATTCTAACAAACATCGATCTTCAATAGTTCAGAAATGAACTTTCTACACTAGTAATTTTTTGGGCCCTTTATAGCTTGCTGTTCGGTGTGATCCAAGGCTCCGTGTTGAAGACCGTACTTTGACCTATAATGGTTTACTTTTATAAATTTTGACTTGGATGGAGGGTTGTCTCATTGGCACACATACCACATCTTCTTATATCTATTTCTAAACTATTTAACCTAAGAATGTTTCTCCACATATCCTGAACGGTAATCTGATGTTGTAACACTGCTTCACTTCATAAACATTGACTCAAATAATGCATATGAATTATTAAAGCAAGAACAATAACAACTTCTTGAATAGCATTAATATTTATTTGTGAAAAAAAAACACAATTTTGATTCTCTGTGTATGACGTTTATTGATTTTATAAACTTTTTAGCTAATGATGAAATTTATCGGTACTTTGACACAAGCCGACAGAATGACACAAACGATAAACTTAATGTTCTTTCTCCAGCAATGGTAACATTGAGTATAGAAGTATTAACAAACAAAACAATGGCCTTTTTGTACTTTTATTGAAGTGTAATTTGTATCATGCTTTCTTCATATGTTTACAAGCTTGTTTTCAAGCTTCAAGCAGCACAAATTCTGGTTCTTTGTTATAAATTTACAGGTGCAAAACACAGTTACAGTAATGGAGATAGAATCAAATTATCAAAATGTTAAGTAAAGATATAAGAAGCCAAATATCAATCAAAACTTTCAGTAATTTTAAAAAAAGGAAAAAGGAGAGAAAAAACAAATTTATAGTAAACTCTGATTTGAAATCAAATTGTCCGAGTTATTTCAACTCATATATTAATGAAAAGAAATGAAATTATATCAATATAAAAAAATATTATTTATGATAATTAATGAAAATAAATTACATTGTCACATCAAAATTTGATGTTATAACTGACAATTTAAACCAATTTTCAATCTTAAAAATGACACGGGCTGAACTTGAAATACTTTATTATTTATCATATTGACCATACTAAAAGGTGTTATTACGCAAAAATAATGATTCATCGGCATTGCAAATTCTTAGAATTACCACCGAGAGCAGACGACAATATTAAAAAAATCATTGAATGAATGAATCTTTATTGCAAAAGCATAAACATGCTATGGCAAAATTAACAACATATATTACATAATATAAAAGATGAATAGACAGCAGAGAACTATAGTATAATACAATGACATATAAAGTTATGAGACTATATTAGATCGAATATTCCGTGCAGCTTTTACATAATTACATAATTTGATCGTAAGAGACTTACTAGAAGCTTTTAGTATATTTAATAGTTTGCGATTATTAGGCCAAGAACAATAATACTTTGGTAAAAATTGTGTTCGTACAGATCTATAAGCTGGACAAACAAGAACAAAATGGTATTCATCTTCAATAACACACATTTTACAACATTCACATAAACGATTTTCTCTAGAAATATTATTATAACGACCAACTTCAATATTTAACTTTAATGTTCCACTACGTAACTTTGTTAGCAGACTAACATTATTGCTATAAGAAAGATATTTTTCAATAAAAAAAGTTAATTTAAATCTACAATAAAAAGACAGTTTACTACACTCCTGAATAGTTGTTGACCAATTCTGCAAGTATTGATCCTGATCCATTGATATCAATAGACTATTTCAAGACATAATTAATTTTCTGAACAACCATTTTATTTACTTATAATTCATATCTTAAGATAATTTCGGAGGAATTATGTTTAGTCTGGTGAAGATTCTAAAGTATGATATATATAGTAATGTCCCTTCTGTATTTTCTCTAAGTACAAAATACTAAAATAACTTTTGAATACTTTGATAGTTTTCTGTATAATGTTATCCAGATGTGTTTTGTCTTTGTCTTGTCGTTTTGTTACTGGTCATTGCTTGTCTTTTTTGATTGGACGGATGGTATTTGACCCCTTGGAACCTTCTCTCTCTCTCTTTCTTTTTCTGTTACAAAAAGAGGCGGAAGATACAAAAGGGATAATTAAACTCATAAGTCGATAAAAAAAAAAAAAAAAAAAAAATGACCATGCCATGTTAAAAAAAACAAAACGAAAAACGAACAAAAGACATACAACAGTATACAAAACAAAGGCATAGAAAACCAAAGACTGAGCAACACGAACCCCACCACAAATCAGTCGTGATTTCAGGAAAAGTTCTCATTAAGGTAGACAGTGCTAATGTTTGTAGACGGGTACATTAAATATCCAAGTATCTGGTTTTTAATTGACCATTTGTATTCACAATTTTAAACTGATGTGTTTTATACCTGCATTTCAAAAGTAAAAAAAACTATTGGAACTTTTTGAAAGTGGTCAGAGACCTATAAATTAAGACCACGGACTATATGAGTAGATGTAATTAATGATCTTTTTTCATATTTACCGATCTGTAATAGTCATCCCATGAGGACGCGGTGTGTCAGTGTAAGATCACCCCGATGATCTTACACTGACACACTAAGTCCGAGTACAATACAATAATTAAACCCTTTACGAGCCCCCGGATAAAATGTTTAAATATGTAATATAAACAGTGACTTTGTATCAAATCGTGCTGGTGTAGCGGTATGGATCGTGGCTTCATATGTCCAAGGTCTTGAGTTCGATTCCCCGCATAGACACTGGAAATTTAGTGGATTTTTTTCTACATAAATTTTGAAAGTTAGTCTTTATTCCGCATAAATAATTCGAAGTTTCATTGTGTGTTCGACATTCATGTTACATAACAAAAGAAAACATGCAGAACAAAGAAACTCAAGGTATGGTGATCTGGTAGGGGTGATCCGACTCAGATCACCCCCGTTAGAACAAAGGAGTTGGGATGTAAGCGTCACTTCCATTTACATAATCATAAATCGAACCAAAGTTTTTACCGCAATACAATTGGTCACGTGACACATGATAGTATGGAACTTTTAGTCTTCCGGATGATCTACTATCAATCTCATCTTATCCATATATTAAGTTTTATATGTTCTTTATTCTGTGTATGGTTTTTCCCCGTCTTACTTGTATCTCTTGATTGGTTTGTGAGGTTTCTGAATTCCATGCATGTTTTGGTGCAGTTGGATTTTGTTTCTTGTAAGTGGTAATGAAATGTTTAATATTTTGTCCTGCTGATATCATGGTTTATGGTTTATTCAAAATTTCCAATTATTGAACTCTGTGATGAGTATGGATCAAATTGAGAAATTTTGGCATAACTTCTTAATAAATAAAGTCATTTTAGATAATATTAAGAAAAGAATGAACGAAGTCATTTTACATAATAGTAAGAAAAGAATGAATGTCGATCCCCTTGTTCAACCCATTGAATGCATTATTTTGTTTTTTGAGGTAAATCAATTCACTGCGTTATTACGTATTATAGATACAACGAATAAGCGTTGATTCTTGAAAAAGAAACCATGAGCCCGGAGGGCGAATGGATTGTTTTTCATGAATCAACGCTTATCATTGTATCTATAACTTAAACTATTGTGTTGATGTATTTTCAAAATCAAAGCCTTTTCTTAATTAGAAGGTATTGTAAGTGAGTATAAATAACCCTGTTATCATGTTCAAAGATGCATTAAAGTTCACAATTAATTGGTTAGAGAAATTCAAATATAACATAACACGTCTGCCTTTAAATTATTATGCATCTGAATATTAATCGTAATTTACGAAATAAGACATATTCAAACTTATTTTTAAGAATATATAATAAGTATATAACCAATATTTCTAGCAAGAAACCTAATTCTAGGTACATCAAAATTTACTCGCATAGGTATTTGCGAATAAACATTTGTAAAGATATGTAGTAAAACAGATGAAATCATACTATATATATATATATATCTGGTGATCAATTTATTTGGCAATCGCCAATGGAAGTCAGCAGGGTTTAAGAACATCAGTTGTTCGACCTGTTAGTCAAATGCGTTTCGTTAAAATAGACTTTTTCACTTTTTTTTTGGTCTTTTGGAAATTGTTGTTTGTGCTGTATTTGGACCCCTCTACCAAGAAATTTGTTTTGCATGCACACGTATAAAA